GTGCCCATTCTCTATGGGCAGCACAGCTGAGATTCATCACAGCTCAGAGAAGCACCACATTCACTTCTCCAGTACATGAGGTCCCCATTGTCCCTACCCACGCCCTGCAGCCTTGCTGAGCCAGCTTTTGATGCTCCTCAGTGTGCAGACTCTTTGAGGAGGAAATATTATAATAAAAAAAAAACATCATGCTTCTCCATTTCTCATTTCTAGCCCATGGAATAAAGAGATCCCCAAAATTCAGTATCCCCTGAGCCTACCTTGGCCTCTTGGAGAGGATAAGCAGCCCATCTCTAAGCAGGCACTGCAGACCTGGAGCCGCTTTAGAGCCAAGTGTCCCAGGGCTCTCCCAGCTCCCCAGACCCATCCTTGTCAAGCCTCAAACACAGTGGTAGGACTGAGGACATGGCCAGCATTGCTGTCCTTGCAGATCTGCCACCCAAGTGCCACCCAGTCAGTCTGTTGCAATGCTGAACAAGATGCCAGAATGTACTGCCACCGCAGCTTTGCCATCAGCGTTGCCCACTAGCTTTACCATTGGTTTTGCCATTAGCTTTGCCACCCACTTTTCTTCCAGACCCTCAGTGCAGAATCACGCAGCTGGCGTCACCCCAGCCACCAGTGTTGCCTTTGGGCACCCTCCCCATGCTTCATCTGGGTTCCAGCTGGGAGCAGAAAGGAGTGGAATGGAGACGGAGCTGGGTTCAATTGGAATGCAGGAATATGGTGTAGGAGCTGAGTTACAGGAAGGAAGCCCCTGCCAGGCTTCTGACCCCAACCCACAGCCAGATCCCCCCTAAGAAGCTGTAATCCCTCTTAGGGGCACGGGCAGTAATCAGGGATTTGGCTCCAGGCGTGCAAACGTGTACGAGCACAGGGCAAAGTGTGCAGGCGTGTGCATGCATCACAGCTTTGTTGTGCCTGGCAAGTGTATGCCTGCAGGATGCAACCAGCTCAAAAAGGAGAAGAAAGGCAACAGGAATGAGAGAAGAAAATGTGCAATTGGGCAAAATACATAACAGGGTAATTTGGGGGTCCTGACTGTACCTCACCCAGTTTTTCCCCCAGGATGGCTCTGCCCTGGGCTAACCCAGCACTGTGTAGAGCAGGGCAGCTCCAAATCCAGGAGCTGAAGTGAGCAGAGTTCAGTCCAAAAGCAAAGTGCAGTAGTTAATGACTGCCTTCTGCCATTAACAGCTGCTGGATTGGAGTGAGTAGCAGCTTGGAAAGGGCATCCCGTGCAGCAGCCTGTCACACTCCCCACTCTTTTGCATGGATACTCATCACTGCTGAGGGACCAACAGCTCCATTGGAGCTTCTCAGTGACGCAGAGCATCCTATCAAACACTTCAGAGCCTCACATGCCTTTGTTTGCCTCTTCCTAGCCAAATACCCAAGTGCCTTCATCTGACTCCAACCCAATGACCGTGGGAGCAAGAGGCTGGTGATGGGATTGTGATGGTGATGGTGATGGTAGTGAACATATGGTCAAGCACAACCATTTTTCACCAAGAGAAAATTACACAGCTTGCATTTCAATGTATGTGCTCAGGAGTGATCACTCCTATGTCTGCTCCCAGAAATGTCCTACTCTAATGGGGAAACCAGCAAGAGCCACCAGGTCAACTCTGTAAAGCACTGCAAGAAATCTCTAACCTGAGATTATAGGGATAGGGATGACCCAGCAGCACACAGCATGTGGCTGCAAGGTGGAGATGTGACGCTGGAGGGACGTGGCTCTGGGCAGCACTACGTGGCTGTCAGATGGCCCTTACAAGCCCCAGCACTGCTGTTCACAGCCCAGCAGGATTTGAGTACAGCTGTGAAATTCACACCCCAGCCCAGAACTCATTTGCACAAAAGTGTGATTTGCTCAACAAATTAAAATGGAAAGGCCAGAAATCACGTGGCCGACGAGCTGCTCACCTGCAGGTGATCCTCCCTGGGGACAACAGCACGGCAAAGCCATCAGCCCTTGCCCAAGGCATTCCAAAATTCAGCCTCCAGCCTTGCTGTGTCAGCCATTGGCACCAGCTGCCCAATGATGTGATGGAGTCACTGTCCCTGGGGGTGTTCAAGAACCGTGGAGAAGTGGCACCGAGATTTAGTGGGCATGGTGGGGGTGGGTTGGAGTTGGATTTGAGTTGGGGTGATGGTGGTTTAAGAGGTCTTTTTTGGCCTTAATGATTCTGTGAGTCTGTGATTAGGCATGGTGATAGGTCAGCAGTTGGACTGGATGGCCTCAAAGGCTTCTCCAGCACAAATGACTCTGTAAGTGAGCATGATGGTGATGAGTTGGCAGCTGGACTTGATCTTAGAGGTGTTCTCTAGCATTTATGATTCTATGGACCATGTCTTGCTGCCCAGGAAGAGAGCCAGCCCCAGCTCCAGGAATGCTCAGGCAGCAGCGCCCTCAGTAGGCCTTGGGGGATCACACCTTGGCCATAAATCCCCACAGGAAGTGCAAGGGAATGTGGCAGGGCTCTGCTCAACAGTGCCTGGGGCAGCCCAGGGGCACAGGGCACAGCCTGGAGCTCAAGAGCTGCCCATCAGCAGCACTGCAGTGCTGGGTGAGTGTCGAGCCCTGGCACAGGGGGTGGAGAGCTCTGGGGGTCCTCCTTGGGGATCTCCCACTGCCCCTGGCCGTAGAGCTGGAAACCCAACCGTCCTGAGGCTCTGGGCTTCTGGGAGGTGCCATAGGGAGCTCAGAGGATGGGCTTAGACCAAGCTTTGAGGGCTGCACCAAAGCTGGTGAGTGTGGAGGCATTCTTCATCCCAACGCCTCACCTCAACGAAATTTCCCTATTTCCTAAACTGATTTCTTCCTTATAAAAATAACTGGCTCAGAGAGGCCTAATAAAGATGAAAGAGCTTTTAAAGTGGGAATCATCGCTCCTTTTTGGCCATAAAGCATTCAGAATAGCTCTCCGTCATGAAAAAATATTGCATAGCAGGGGATCTGCCAGGGAGGGTGGAGGCAGATAATACAGTTAAGAGATATGAATTGCTTGCGCCACAGAGGTCTCCTGGATCTAGGGGAGACTGGGGGACTGGGGAAAGCATGAAGCAAACTGAAATGCTAGGATGGGTGAAATGGAACCTGTGACGGAGCTTTGTGCACCATCCCAAAGAAGTGATGCCAACCTCATGCACCCCGCATCCCATTGCAAGAGGAGAGAATCCAAATCCCATTGCAAGAGGGGAGCACCCACATCCCATTGTAGGAGAGGAGCACTCTTTCTGCTCACTCGCACGTTGCTTGGTCCCAGTGCCTGGAGGAGCCTCCTGGCAGCCCCTACAGCACTGTATTTTACATATAAGGCAGCCCAGGTGAGACCTAAGGAAAATGAATCCTGGTAAGCCTTGGGTTCCTTGCTACAGGGGAGGAATCTGCAGGCAAAAGCAGTGTGGTAAAGCGGAGAGATCAAGGGTTTGAGCACAGGGAGGGGGCTGTGTGTGGTGCCATCCCGAGAGGTTTATTTAAAAGAAAACAACCCTTTATCCCACCAAAAGCCGACCCCACACCCCCAGCACCCGTCGGAGCACAGAGCCCTCCCACGCCTGATCCCCAAAAAGGAACAGATGCCCCTGCACCAAACACCCAGTAAAGCACTTTCCGTCCGACCCCTCTGTTCCCGAAAGCAATTAGCAGCTTCGCCTGGAAAACTTGGCTGGCTGCAGCTGGCAGGGAGATGCTAATCCCATCCACCTCGGGGACAGCCACATCTGCACCGTGCCCCCCGCTGCTCCGCTTTTGTTTGCTACCTGGAAGTGTCCCTCCGTCCCCATCTCCGCCCCCACCCCCAAGGGCCATCCAGAGGGCGGCTGCGACGCGGCGCTGGGGGTATATAAGGCAGCGGGGATGCGGGGACGTTGCAGACGCGCTCTCCGGGAGACGGGGACGGTGGTGGCTGCGCTCCAGCCCACGCCACAGGTGAGACCTCAGGGATGCGGCATGGCCCAGAAGGGCACCTCCGGGGGGTGCGGGGAGGGGGAAAGTCGGCAAAATCTTGGTTGCAAAGTCTTGGGTGGGTTGTTTGCACGGTTAGATGGACGGCAGCAAGGAGATAAATCACCCTCCTCTGTGAAATGCTTTGTGCATCCCTGCCCCCAGCCTCTGCCACCCTTTATTCTCTGCTTTTTTGGGTTACTGTATGCTGATGCGTTACAGAAGTGGTCCCAGCAGTCGCAGCAGTGCCAGAGCTGGGAGGTCCCAGGCGGCTGCTCCCATGATTTTGGGGCAAAAGAGCAGAAAGAACCTCCATGACCGCACTTCATCCGCTCTCTATGGAGCAGGATGAGATTTTCATTAACTTGCCTATTGTTTTCTAAATTGTGGGATGGGGTTTTCCTCCCTTGGCACTCCCAAGGTGAACCACGTGAGTCCCCATAAAGTTAAAAGCAACTTGGGAAAGAGTTGGGCTTGGCAAAAGCAAAGCGCACGGATACATCCATCTGCATGGCTCTGCTGCCATCACCACAACCCTCACCTTGTCTGGACTCACCCAAAGCAGTCCCTGCAGCACAGCCTTCAGCTTCCATCCTCAGCCTGGGTCTGTTTTAGCAAATCCTTTGCACAGCAGCGGAGCCATCCCTGAGCGCACTGGCATCCCTGACACCTCCAGCATCTCCCAGAGTGCTTCCCAAGCGATGATCTGATGTTATTTCATGTATCATTTCAGCTTGAGGGGGGTTTGCAGGGGCTACAGCCTGCAGGCAGCTTTCCCTTGCAGCATCACTGGTCTGCCTGTGGCTCTCAGGAGGGGCAGAAATCCTCAAGGCAGCAGCTGTCACCTGCAAAGCCGGGTGTTCACGCAGGTGACAAAGGACCTGGGATTTCGGACGCAAAGGATGGCGACAGCAAAGCCACAAAGGGCTGGAAGGAGGGGATGCAATCCTAGCAAGAAGCAGCAGCCCCATATTTGGGCAAATAGTTATTATTTTTTCTTTTTTTTTCTGTAGCTCCTCTGCAGTTTGGGTGCCCATCCCTTGCCAGTAGGATGCGGGGTGCGCTGTGCCGCAGCCTGCCTGTGGTGCTGGGGTTGCTGCTGTGCCACCCCACCACCGCCAGCGGTCCGTGCTGGGAGAACAGCAAGTGCCAGGACCTGGCCACTGAGGCTGGTGTTTTGGTAAGTGGGAGCGTGGGGCTGCCTCAGGCTTTGTTTGCTTGTAACCCCAATGGAAGAGGTGACGGGATGCTGTCCGTGCTGGGTGACACACAGCAAGGTGAAGTGATGCCTTGGGCACCACGATCTGTGGGTTTTGGTGTGCTCATGCCTTTTGGCCTCATAGAGTCACAGAATCTCAGAGTGAGAAGGGACCTCAAAGCTCCCCCAGCCCCAACCCCTGCCATAGGGTGATCTCTCACCAGATGAGGTTGCCCAAAACCCCATCCAGGGATGGGGCACCCACAGCTTCTCCCTTCCACTGCCTCATCACTTTCATCATAAAGAACATCTTCATGTTGGGTAAAATCAGTTTTCAAACTGATGTCATCCCTCCTATGTGGGACAAACAAGGAAATCAGAGAGTGGTAACGGGATGGTGGTTATGGTTCATCCTCTGCAGGGGCTGAGTGCGCTTTGGGGACCCAACGCACAGCCTCCATGTGTGGTCCGTGCTCCCCCAGCACCTTTTACATCCCCACAGGATGTGTTGGATGCTCCATGCTCCCCCTGGAGGATACATAGAGTGGCGCTTGCACAGGAACATCACCAAGGCACATGGCCACAGGTTGCACATTAGGAAAGATTTCTTCCCTGAAAGAGTGGTGAAGCAGTGGCACAGCTGCCCAGTGGGCTGTGGGGTCACCATCCCTGGAGGTGTTCCAGAACCGTGACACGACACACTTGGGGACATGGTGACCGGGCATGGTGGAGCGGGCTGACACTTGGAATTGGTGACCTTAGAGGTCTTTTCCAAGCTGAAGGATTTCATGATTCCATTTTGCCCCGTGCAGGCGTGTGCCAAGGCGTGCCGAGCTGAGCTGTCGGCCGAGGCACCCGTGTACCCCGGCAACGGGCACCTGCAGCCCCTCTCCGAGAGCATCCGCAAGTACGTGATGAGCCATTTCCGCTGGAACAAGTTCGGCCGTCGCAACAGCAGCAGCGGAGGGCATAAAAGGGAGGAGGTGGCCGGCCTCGCCCTGCCCATCACATCACCCCACCGCCCCCCCGGGGAGGAGGAAGACGGAGAAGGGTTGGAGCGAGAGGAAGGGAAGCGCTCCTACTCCATGGAGCATTTCCGCTGGGGCAAGCCGGTGGGACGGAAGAGGAGACCCATCAAGGTGTACCCCAACAGCGTGGACGAGGAGTCGGCCGAGAGCTACCCCGTGGAGTTCCGGAGGGAGATGGCGGCCGACGAGGATCCCCTCGGCCTCTCGGAAGAGGAAGAGCAGGAGGAGGAAGGCGAGGAGGAAAAGAAGGACGGCGGCTCGTACCGCATGCGGCACTTCCGCTGGCACGCGCCGCTGAAGGACAAGCGCTACGGCGGCTTCATGACCCTGGAGCACAGCCAGACGCCGCTGATGACTCTGTTCAAAAACGCCATCGTCAAAAGCGCCTACAAGAAGGCCCAGTGAGCGGGGACGGCCCGCGGGGCAGCCCAGCCCACGTGGCCCCACGCAGCTTTAGTGTCCTGCCGGCATGCGTGTCACTTAGATCCACAGATCGCTCGTTATGTCCTTAATTACTACTCCGAAGCCCTCCTGCCCCGACACCCAATGGCGACAGGTTGGGGCTGAATGCGCCCATGTGAGCAGTGCTCACGCCGGGTCATTTTCCTACTTTCACCAAGCTGTAAAATACTGTAAATGATGGATTAAAAGAATTCTAAAAACAAAACAAAACAAAACAAAACATATATCTGTAATTTTTGCTAGCTAGCCATGCATCTGCAATGTCTGTGGGGCTGTGTCTTGCAAAGGGGCAAAGGAAATAGGGACAAGGTTCAGTGGGCACGGTGGTGACAGGTTGACAGTTGGACTTGATGATCCTCACAGGTCTTTTCCAACCTTACTGATTATCACAGAATCATATCACAGAATTGCTTGGGTTGGAAGGGACCTCAAGGATGGTGAAGCTCAAACTTCCCCCTCTCTCTTCCCCCACCACAGGCAGGGCTGCCAACCTCCATATCTAATACTACACCAGGCTGCATGGGGTCCCATCCAACCTGGCCTTGAACACCTCCAGGGACCTAAAAGTGAAATTTAGAATAACTCCAAGCCCAAATCCTGCAGCTGGGAGCCAAAAGACATCACTGGGGCTGTGCATGGGAGATGGCCGTGGGGCTAAATTTCATCAGGTTACTCCCAAGGAAGGGATTCAGGCTTCCCCATCCCTAGGCAGCTTCCCCAGTACTTATCTCCCAGATAAACTCATTAATTGCCTATTGAATGGCAACACAGAAGACTCTCAGGTACAAAAGAAAGTGACGTTATTTATAAAGTCACATTGCTAAATCGTTTGCACAGAGGGGCAATGAAAGCAGGGAGCAGCTGGGGATGTGGGACCATCTGCAAGAGCAAACGCTGTTACCTGTGCCAGGAGTAACAAACCCTCACCATTTCCCCCAGCCTCACAGAGCCCCAGGTGCCATCAACGTGCCAACAGAGCAGATCCCATAATGTGGCAACATCAACATTTATTGGAGGGCTTGCCTGGAAATACTGACAGCATCTCGGCCCTTTCACACCCACTTCTCTCCTGCCCTCAGCTACGCATGGAAACAACACAGTGCCCTGAAATACAGAGATGGAAACGCACACATGCACCTAACTGCCAAGTTTATAGAAATATACTTTGTCATCTATACATACACCAGTATCTAAACTAAACGTGATGTACAAACGAGTCACTTACACTGTGTGTGTGTGTGTGTGTGTGTGTGTGTGTGTGTGTGTGTGTGTGTGTGTGTGTGTGTGTGTGTGTGTAGGGACATTTACAGGTGGAGTTTGGGTCCTGAAATGCAATGCTGAGCACAGCCAGCACTTGCTTTTGGAGGGGAATAGGGGATGTGCTGGGGGATGTAGCGAGGGAACAGCACTGGGACCAGGGAGACCACACTGAAACCCCCAGCCAGGGGATAGGGGATAAGGTGCAGTCCTGGCCCAGGTTCCCTGAGCAGCAATGGAACCCCAGGACTGTGCCATCCCCATGGCAGCCAGGTTCCAAGGAGCAAGGCTCGTGCTCATCTTCCCACCTTCCTTCTGAATTTGAAGGGGTTTGGAAGCATCTCCCCCCCATGCACACACAGCCTGGGGGTTAATCGCTTCTCCTACTGCATTTTGCTGAACTTTCACTGCTTTTCATTCACACAGCTATGGGAGCAAAACATCCTTTGTCAAGCAGCCTCCTCACGTTCCCAATGCCAGCTCTGCAACTTCACCCAGCCAAAACCCCATGGGGGACTAGGCATAACTAAGGGAACAAAACGGGACAGGCTGGGAACAGAAAGATGGGGGGAGACCCCCAAGGAGTGGCTGTGGCAAGGGACAGCCTCAGGCTCTGGGCAGGGCTGCAATCCCACCCAGGGACTGAAATAAACCCTCGTTTTTCCTGTCCTCTTAAGCTAGGTCATTTCCTAAACCCGGATTACATGACAACCACATAAACAAGTGGTAACCTCGGGGCAACTGCAAACTGCACCCACCACCAAACTAAAAAAAGGAGAGAGAAGAAGAAGAAAAAAAAGGATGTTAACATGCAATTACACCTTCAAAGAACTGTCTGAAGAGCTACTGTGAGAAGGGGTGGAGAAATGAGTGGTCACTGAAGCAATCCAGCTGGGCACAGGCAGCACCACTGTGACCATTGTCATCACCTGCTGTCCCCCTGCTGTGCACAGCAGCATCTCCCACACCTCCAGTTTTGAGTTTTAGATCCTCCTGTGTCTTCTCCTGCAGTGAAGCAATGTGTCCAGCTGGAAGGAAAGGGGCTGCCCCAGAGATGAGCTGGGATTTCACCGCAGCCCTGGTGCAGGGGGCTCCATGCTTGGCTCAGCAAAAAGCTGCCTGACCACAACAGAAGCCTTTTTTTTTTTTCTTTTTCAAAAGGATTCTGTTAAAAAAATAATCTATTCCTCAGACAGGAATGCTAACACTGTGAAATCCCAAACCAGAAACTATGAAACCATAAACCATGAAAATAGTTGGTTAGTGTGTTGATATGCCCAAATGTGGTTTCTACTCATGACTTATGGTGGCTCCAGGTGCCTCACTGCATGAGCACTGCCTGTGGCTGCTGTACGGCTCCCCGAGAGCACCCTGCTGATGACATGGACAAGTCAAGTATAGCTCTTTTGGATCTCCCCTCCTCCTCAAGAAAAGTTTTCCAAATAAATCATGTTTTCAAGTGACCTGGAACCAGCCAGGTTGTGTATCCCAACACTAGGATGGGACAGTTGCTGCCCTCCTGTCACTTCAGGCACTCCTCTTGTCCAGAATGAAGTACCCGAGCAACCGGCCACGCACTGGGGCAGCTGCTGGGAAGATGCAGCTCACAGGCCAGGAGCTGGATGTGTGGACTGCATCCTTTACAGTGCACCTGTTTTGTGCATGAGCTCCAGTAGGATTTAATTTTACAGCTGCCCCACGCTGCACCACACATCCCCTTTTACAGTCTCACACCCTGCAGCTTCACCCCTGCACCCTTGCCAGGGGTTTCCAACATGGCTAACAGATGATTTGGGGAGGGATTCCCCAAGGAACAGGTTTGTTTTACGTTGGGAAGATGTACATGCCCAAAGCTCTCTGCCAGGAACCAGAGCACCTCCTACCCCCTCTCCAAAAACAAAATTGGAGAGGGAGGTCAGAGCAACGACACACCTTCCTGCACCACCAGCTGCCCCCAGAATATCAGCAGGGGATCACTAAAGAAAGTACATGGTTTGTGGTGCCAATGAATCTTGGGATAGTCTTAGTGTCCACGTCCCTATCTGTCATGCAGAAGGATGCACTCTCCAGGTGGTTGGCAGTCTCTCCCCAAGAGGTCCTTTGGCACAAGCTGTGCAGCAGGCTCTGTCCTACCAGCACGGCCATCCTCAGTACACACACAGGTCTGGGAACTTCATCTCATACACTGGGATGGAGTGGTTCTGGGGCTGGCCATAGGCAGCTGTGATGGTACCTGATGGGCTTGGTGGTGGCCTGAAACATGAGAGACAGAGGGAGGTGTTTTACAGAGGTGTTTCATGAGGAAGCAAAGCCTGTTGCAGGGCAGAAAACATCGCATTCCTGCACCACTGCAGTTCTCCTCTGTGCCCCCGTAGCAGAAGGGAACTGCAGCAAACAAACCAGAGGCTGCTCCCACCAAACTTAATCTCCTGTGCTACCACAGGTACCCCAGTCCCAGGCTGGCACCCACCCCCAGCACCCTGCAAGCAACACAGCTGGGTGGCTTGACTAGCCATGCTCAGCCCAGCACGCTCAGCCATCACCCCAACTCACCGTATGGTGATCTCAAAGATCTGGTTGAGCTTGCTCTGCAGCAGCGTCGCCTGAAACACACACAGCAGCTGTATCAGTGTGGGTGCAACCCAGGAACAACAGCAATGCAAACAGGACAGACACTCCATCGGCCTTCCCCGTTCAGCAGAGAAGGAAGAAGGCGGCCTCACAGCATTCAGAGCTGAACTGCCACCATCGCCAACTGGGACCATGCAGGGATTTAGGGTCACAGCTTCAACTCACCCGAGCACCACAGTGAGCAGCAATCTCCTCAAATGGGGCTTTCTGAAATTTCTCCACCACTTGTCGCCTCCGCTCTCGTTCTTGCTCCTCCACGGCGACGCTGTCTACTGAAGCAAAGGGGAAATGGCTCTCAGCTGCTCCCCTCAGCACGGATCATTCACACTACATCCCCACCCCCCAGCAGACAGCACAGATTTGAGCATCACTAGTAAGCCAAGCAGAGGATCTTCGGTGCCCGAATCTGGGACCTGCCTCCCAGGAACACCCTAGGGAGAGGCACAGAGATGAAGCTGCCTGGCCGTGCTGCTACCCGGGTGCAATGTCACCATGGGAAAAGCACAGCGGATCCATCCATCCAGAGCGCACACAGGGGTGATGGGACCCACACATCACCCACCCATATTCAAACATGTCAGCCTCCACCTCTCCCTCACTTACCTATTGCCTTTTTCAGTGTCTCATATGTGATCTCTTCAGCTGGTGCTCTCTAGAGGAAGAGGAAAAGCAGATGGCTCAGTGTTCAGCACAAGACAGTGTTTTGGAATCACAGCAACCAAGAACCAGTGCCTCAGGCTGTATTCTTGAACTGAGACACAGCCTGTCTTTAACACACAGACACATCCTTCCTGACAACCTGTATTTTTAGAATGTTTTTTCAGGCTGGACTACCCTGGCCTCAGACCTCCCAAAGGCTCCTGCGTGTATGAAATGTTGATAGTGGGAAAATAAAGGAGGAAGTTTTTCCCCCAGAGGGTGGTGAGGCACTGGCACAGGTTGCCCAAGGAGGCTGTGGATGCCCCATCCCTGCAGGCATTCAAGGCCAGGCTGGATGTGGCTCTGGGCAGCCTGGGCTGCTGGTTGGCGACCTGCACATAGCAGGGGGTTGGAAC